GATAAAACAAAACTATTAGCTAAAGAAACAAAAAGGACTGGTTTGGGTGCCCGAACTTGCTTTCTTATCCTTTAAAATTTTGATTTTAAAACATGGCTTCGGGTCCGTTATTTTACCGGGCCCGTAAAGCTGTTCTGTCTTCATTCTAGATGGGGATTTCGAAAGTTTTGAAAATGATACAATAAAACTATCAGCTAAAGAAAGAAAAAGGACTGGTTTGGGTGCTAGAACCTGCTTTCCTATCCTTTAAATTTTGCTTTTAAAACATGGCTTCGGGCCCGTTAAGATACCGCGACTTTCGAGAAACGGGCCCCTGCTGGTAGCTAACGTATAATTGTGACTGCTTTTAACCGATACCAAATAGAGAAATAGTACAAACACTTGATTATTCGCGACAGAGAGAGATTAAAATCTCGAAGAAAGTTGTTGAGGGAAAAGCCCAACACGCCGCCAACAAGGCAAAGATAATCGAAGCAGTGAACCATGACACGAAATAAACACGACCAACCAAGAGGAAAAAACCTGAAATATTTTCATGTATGTTGTTAAAAAGTAATCAAATGATTTATCTCGCACAATTTGGGATATAGCAGCTCTCGTAGATTTTTCAGAGAAAATTTACTCCAGCTGATTTATACCACATTGCACTCGAAATCATGTGATAACCTAGTATACAAATTGCACTCCACTCAGTTTATTCCATTATAAATTTTCACCAAATAAACATAACCCTCTATTAAATAACAAAAATAACGCAACATTTCTCAATACACACTGTCCTCGAAAAGAGGACCAGTTTCTCCACATCTACCTCAACATTACGCTTTCGCACTCAATTCTAGAATCCGTCCTTTATTATTGTCTTTATCTATGGATTAATGATAGTAGTAAAATTATCATAACGATAATAGGAATAGTAGAATAAATTGCTGTCGTAAACGTTGCAAAGATAATATCTGAGCTTTTCTATTGTCCTTTAATTACAAAAGTCCAGTCCAAGTTACGTATTGAGAAACGAAAGCGAGGCTCGTTGTCAAGGCTCTCAATGAACGACAAGATGGACTCTGATTAGTGGACAGAGTTGTAAACTAAACTCGAATAGTTTGTGGTATGGATCTGATAGATTTAATAGGCGACTCTAAAACAGACAGCCTGCCAGCTGGGTTTTTACGCTCGATCAAAATCAAGTACAAACAAGAATCGTCGCGAGTGTTCCCACCAGGAACTCCGTATCATTCCACGGACCTCACTGACAAAGCTCCTCAAGTGAATCGTGGAGGTCAAAGAAGTGCCTCAGCTGCGAGTAACTCTTCTGCACCGGTAGGTTGTTAAGTCGCTGGGAATTTACATGTCATTAAAGAAAAACCTGGTATATGTTCCGCTTTCTGCCCCACACCGCACAATAATCTAGTTTTCCGGCGAAGATGTAGCTCATCTACATTTGTTTACAGTAAAAATTCACGGGTCACTAAGTGAAGGTCAACTTAGAGAGGCGTCAAATTACGACTGCCTTGTTCGATAGCTGATCAAAGGAGTTTCTCAGTTTTTGATTTTCGATTTCTCTTTTCATGCTGTCTAAATTAATTGGTGGCTACGTGCTACTAATCTGAGTTCTAAATTTTGTGCAACTTTGTGAAATCTTTATACTCGTTAAAATTTTAAGGAATTTCACAATGTGCTAATCTTGTTAATTATACGTACTTGTTTCACGACAAAAGGTAATTTACCGAAAAAAACCTTCAAAAAAAATTCTGAAAAATCTTTGCCCAAAGAGGCTAGTCCTTAATGATCTTTATTCTTTGTCCAAACTGGGTACACACTGTCGGGTAAAATTTTTAAGTTTATGGTAAGAAATCTGCTGAGGGTTTTTCTTTTAAATACAACATGGGTTAGCTCACTGGTAGCTGGCAAGGCCAATATATTACATCTACAGGTGCACCTACAATTTCACTAGCCGAGAATGCAGTTGCAGGTCTGGATTGGGCTGTTTGCAGCCATCCCTAACCCCTCCCAAAATTTAAAATTGGTCAGTGGAGTAATCACCATTAAGATTGTATAGTCAGTGAACTGGTAAAAGGATATTCTATTAAATTTGATTACGGGTATGCACTTGACTTGGTATAATTTTAGCTTCCTCATATTTTGCCATCTCTGCATGACCATTCCTTTTTTTTAGAGTTTTATGGCATGGCATGTTCCATCACGACTGATTCAGCAGCATAAACTTGAGCAGCCCCCTCCATGAGCAGGTAAGATCAATTGTATTGATTTAAAAAGAAAAAACAAAACCAGCATTTTTTCTTTTGTGGGGAGTGTGGGGGAAGGAGTGTTTGGGCATGATATTTTTGCTTTCAAATGTTCCTCTGAGAAATTATGCTTATGGCTGAGAAAGTGAATTTTTACTTGACAAAATGACACTGAGATGAGTTGTTCTTTTAGCTGCTTCATATTTTGCAGCCATTATATTTAATATTATTATATTGCAAGGTAGTCCAGAGATAAATTCAAGTGTTCTGATTGGTTCTTACTTAGTGTGTATTGTGCTATGTGAACCATTTCACTAAAATGGTCACAAGGTGAGTAGTTTTGGTTACATAAGCAGACATTCAAATTGTACAAGTTTGGTTGGAGTGCCATATATTAAGTTAATTAATACTAAACTCCCTTGCTCAAGCTGTTCAGGGAAATATTGGCCCAGGTCCATACTACCAAGAACTTTGGCCAATATTCCCTTGCACAGCCCTTGCTCTTTGGTTGGTAAGTAAAATATTCAAGAAAAGTAATGGTTTTGAATTGCTTTTCTACTGAAAAAAGGTGGGTTTGTTGCACAGAGACACAAGTTAGGGTCCAGAACATCTGTACTGAGTGGACAGTCCCAGGGCAGTAAACAACTTCAACCACCCTCCAGGGGAAACCATGATTGTGAGTTCAACTTAAAAGTACTGTTAAATAACTAAAGTCTATTTAAGGAAGCAGAATGGATTTGACTTCATATCATAAGTTATGGATACAAGCGGTGTTTTGAAATTGCCTGTTATTTTACAAGCTGTAACCAAGTGTAATTTGACAACATTTCACAACTTCACAAGTGACCAAAAATCACAAGATGTACATGTCAAGCAGTTCGTACATTTCTTTGGTTAATACTCTTCTAAAAGCAAATTTGAACTTCCTTTAGAGCAATTTACTTGAAATACTTTTCAGAAGTTTTTGTTTACAATATAGCTGATCTTTTTATATATATTAACAACATTGACAGATGAACAAAGCTTCGTGTCTTTTCTATGTAACATAATACGCTTTACTTATCTTTAAAATTGTAAATTGGAGGGTGTAATTCAGAAATCTGGTATGGTAACATTGTATTTATAACCTGTTTATGCATTTGTAATTGAACATGTACAATAAAGATAGAAATAGATACAAAATAGTGCTGCTGCAGGAAGACAAGCTATTTTTTAAAATATTTTTTATGCAATACATAGTGCCCAGACTGCAGTCTGAAGCTAACCACTTGAGAAGAAGTCCCTTGCAAAGGCAACCCACATCAGCAGCAGCTCCAGTAAGTGATACTCAGTAACATGTCACCAAAAAATAATACAGTTGAGCCCCTGTAACTCAAATTGCCAAGGGAAGTTGAACTTCAAGTTATTGGGGTTTTAAGTTGTAGGGGTTTTGAACAAAAAGACTAGAAACACTTGGTAAAAGAGATGTTATGCTTTTACATGCTTTATTGCAAAAAGAGCATAAAAACAACAACAACCAAAAAACAACAGATTGATTCCAGATTACAAGCCATTATTTTTTTTCGCCAGACAGAACTGTCAAAACTGTTTGTTTATGGACATACAAATGAGTGATATTGACAAAAGTCAATTTGTCTTAATATATAAATGAGATTAAATGTAATCTTCCAGTGCAAAATGTTATGGCTCATTAGTCCACAAAAGTGAAAATTGACTTTGAGTTAGAGAGGGTGAAATTACAAAGAAAAGTATCTGAAGGTAAGTAAAAATCACTTCAAGTTAGTTATAGGGGTTAAAGCTACAGTAAATGAGGCAAATCACTTTTGCTTTGAGGTAGCAGGGAATTGGAGTAACCAAGGGTTCAAGGTATCGGGGTTCAACTGTAACAAATTATCGTCAAATAAGGTAAACAAAGGCACTATGAAGCTTCAGAGATTTTAATTTGCAGTTTTAGATAACTTTTAATTGTTATCAAGAGAAATACTGTACATGACACCACCAGAGCTAAAATCGCAGATCCTATGATTGTGAGTATTAGTCCAGCATGCTAACTGCCAGTGAACTCTTTATTTTATGGACATCATTTTGCCATCTCCACGCGCAAATAGCAAAAGCTAGGTGAGGTGGGCGGAGAGCAT